AATGAATAAAGATTAGGATAATATAGGTCAGGTCAGTTTAATCATTTTTTAACATTTTTATAAATTACAAGCTTTTCTTTGCCCTCTGAGACCACAATTAACAATCAATGTTTAGACTTATTTTTGATGTGATTACAAAAATACCTCTATTTTAGAGGTAGACATCTAGAATGTTAATGCAGACCAGCTCTTTTGAGCATCCAGTATATGCTCATGGTTGCTGCGGCCAATAGAAAATATAAGCATGACTAAGGCATTAAAGGTTGTTTATAGTATAAGTTTGTTTGTTTGTTTGTTGAATAAATCAGACTTTGGAAAATATATCAGATCCAAAACTTACTAGCTAAGACTAGGCAAATTATTTAATCTTATGCATAATCAGTTTTATTGTGTATAAAGCTGGGGAAATAAGATTTATCTTACAGGATTATTTTGAAAATTAAATGAGATTATGAAAATAGAGTACCTACTAAAGTAATGGTACAGGGAAGCACCGAATAAATGCTGGGTGTTGTCATGATTATTCATTCATTTAGTAACTTTTATTGTGCTCTTACTATATTGTAGCCATCATCATTATTAACATTGTTATTATTTACTAAATATAATTCTTATCCACAAATGACATATCCAGTGAAGAATATGAGTCTTGAAACAATTGTAACAATTTTATGACCATATTCATTATTTTATTTGAATATAGAAACTATCATAAGGAATTAAATAAATCTTCAAGGTAAAGACAAAGCAATGTGGAAGTATAGATAAAAATTATTATTCTGACTGGAATATTCAGAAAGGCTTCAAAAAGAAGGTGGTAATTGAGTTTGATTGCAAAAGAGCAGTGGTATTTCAGTGACAAAGAAATGAGAGGGAGGTTAGGATGGAAAAATACCCAAGTCAGAGAACACAAGAACCAAGATGTAAAGACTTCAACAAATACGGAACTGCTGTTGTAACTGGACAACAGGCAATCATGCTATAAATGAGGAGTACCTGCCATGTGCCAAGCATGGAAGATATACTTTTGAAAATGACTACAATAACTTTTACTTTTTTTCTTTCTTTTTTTTTTTTTTTTTTTTTTTTGGCGGGGATGTGGGGCATGGAGTTCGCTTTTATTGCCCAGGCTAGAGGGTGATGGGGTGACCTTGGCTCACTGCAACTTCCGCCTCTCCAGTTCAAGCAATTCTCCCGCCTCAGTCTCCCCAGTAGTTGGGATTACAGTTGCCTGCAACCCCACCCAGCTAATTTTTTGTAGTTTTAGTAAAGAGAGGGTTTCACCATATTGGCCAGCCTGGTCTCGAACTCCTGGCCTCAAGTGATCTGGATTACGATAATTTTCACTTTCATAGTGCTTATAATACACTGGATGATGTGACCAAGGAACAATTGGACCCAGATCATAGATGGCTTGAATATGGCCTTAGATGTTTGAATGTTCTCTAAGTACTGAAGGCTGTGTTTCAGAGAAAGTGATGGACTGGCCACCCATATAAAAGTGAACTACTGCATTGTAGTTGCAGAGAGGCTAACATTGAGAGGCAGTAGTCATCTTGACAAAAATGAGGAAGATGAGCACTAAGATAAAGATAAGTAACATGAACAAAAGAAATTAATATTTTGTAAGAGAGTTGTTAGGACTGGTGAGATATAATGAGGGAAGGAAAGGAGTTGAACATGATCTTGAGGGCCCTACTCTGGGAGGCTTAAAGGAATTGTCTGTATTTGTCACAGGGAATCAGGAAGAGCCAGTTAGGGTCAAGAGTTAGAACATGTTAAGCTTAGCAGGCTTTGACACTCAGCGGTGTCTATTAAGCAGTTAGGAATTGGTTTATTTTGTTTGGAAGAGGTCAGAACTAGCCAAGAGATTTCATAGTCCTTGATAAAAATAGGGTGTGATACCCCTAAAAGGGATGAGTTTGTAAATAGAATGAAAATAAAATGTTAGAACTTACAGAACAGCTTGTTCATAACTTTTGGAGTCATACTACAGGTGGTTCTGTAGAAACACTCCATTTAGATTTAACAATAAACAAACAGCTCTTTGTTATGAGGGGAGGAGACTATTCAAATGATGCGCTCCTTCTCCTTTACCTGCTATTTCAAAATGTCTTGGTTTCTTCATATATACCTAGAATTTTCATGAGCAGTGAGGTAAATGAATAGAGATTATTTCTGTTCCCAGAAAGTAGCTTTGAAGGATGCTGAAATCATGGACGAATTGAACAACACCGCAAAGATTCACTGTAAAGCTGAGACAGCTAAAATGTCAGCGGCTGCCACTTGCATAGGCTTCTTAGAAGGCACTACAAGGAACCATAAACGTGTTTGTGGTCAAGTGTTTTTGCAAATGTTAGTTATTTAAACTTTCATCAATTCATACTTCTGTCTCTATTCAGATTTCACCTCCCTTTTCCTTCTCTTCTTATTGGGTAGTTCTGAACAGGCTACAGGCAATGTTTTTTGGGAAAGTTGAAGTAAGAATACATTTAGTTTAGGCTTAGTGGAACATATGTCTACATTTTTTGAAAAAACAGCTTTATCGAAGTAAAATTGACCTATGGAAACCTGCACATATATTTACAACTTGATGAATTTGGACGTAGGCAAACCCCCATGAAATTATCACCACAATTAAGTTAACAGACAAATCCATCACCTCAAAAAGGTTGTTCTATGGCCTTTTTGTTGTTGATGATGTTGTTTTAAGAACACTTAACATGAGATATACCCTCTTAATACATTTTTAAGTGTACCAACACAGTGTTATTAACTATAGGCACTATGTTGTACAGCTTGTCTCTGGAGCTTCTTTTGCATAACTAAAACTTTATTCCCATTGAATAACAACTTTGCATTCCCTGACAGCCGCCGTTATACTCTCTGCTTCTATGAGGTTGACTATTTTGAGTACCTCATGTAAATGGAGTGTCTGTCATGGAACTGGCTTATTTCACTTAGCATATTGTTCTCTAGGCTCATTCATTTTGTTGCAGATGGCAGAGTTTCCATCTTTTTTAAGGCTGAGTAATATTTTTAGTCTCTCTCTGTATTGTTGGTATTGCTGGTCACCCAGTTTTTGGCAGAAATGTGGCATATTTTGTTGCATTGTCATGATAATATGTCTTTTTGCATTTAAATTAACTTGGGAACTGATTTCACTCAGAAGACTGAGCCCCAGTGTCATTTTTCTTTTCAGACTCAAAAGTTTATTTTTATAGAGCAATAAACAAAAGCTAATACATCACCTTTCTTTGTTTAATTGGTGGGATTGTTTCTTATACAGAAAATAATAATCATTGATAACATTTACTAAATGCTTATCACTTTTAGCTATTTTCAACTACATTTTATAGCGAGAAAACTGAGACAGAGAGAAGTTAAATAATTTTCCCAATGCTAAACAACTTGTAAGTGGCAGATCTGGAATCCAAAGCCAGTGACTCAGGCTCCCATCATTAATTTAAACCACCAGGGAGCTCTGACTCTCTGTCACTGAGTTAGAAGCCAGAAGTCCCTGAGTTTAAAATCCTTGGGGTTTTAGAAAGTTAACTTCTAATAATCCTCAGGCTTCTTATCAAATAAATGGATGAAGCAGTTAACTTCTAATGATCCTCAGGATTCTCATCAGATAAATGAAGGTGGACTAAAACATAATGTTGGTAACTTTGGGGTGATCTCATGACCCTTTGAGAAAGCTGTGATCCCTTTATCTGACATAGAATAGATGTAATTATGTAATTAACAAACATCCTTGGATACCCTGAATCCAGTATCTTAGCCCTAGGTTAAAATCCCCTGGACTAGAAAATATTTAAATTTCTTACAAATCTAATATTCTGCTACCTTAAGAAGAGCTGACTTCTAGTTTATTAATGACTTTTTAAAGAGGACAAGAGATTACCATTACAGTGACTTATTAAATGATTTTCATTATATGCCTTATTGGCAGGTTGGTTTGTGTTGTATTCTTTCCTGTAACTTTGCATTTTCTGAATGCTGCTGACATCTTTCACTTGAAGACATTTTTTATTAGAAGAAAATTGTTAGATGCATCTGGATTAAACTGCTCTGAAGATGTTATGGTGTTTACCATAAAGCTATAAAATAATTTATGTTTTCCTAGTAAATGAGATCTGAAGAACAACCCAAGTGTCAATAGCAAAATCAATTTGAAAAGGATCTACTATGAAATGAGGCTTCTCAAATAAAATGTAGTTTAACAAGAGAGCATTCACTCTGTCTTCCTTCTTATGGGGATACTTTGCATTAGAATGTAAAAATGATGGCATGTTTGGAAGCCGTAAACTTAATATGTATCAAACTTCATGGCTTTCAAGATCAAAGGATTAAGTTTCAATTTAAATGTATGGATTTTTTGTTAAAAAAAATAAAGTATCTTACTAGAAAACAGAACAAGAAACATTTTGTGTGTTCTTTCTATGTCACCTAAGGAAATTGCAAAAGCATCCATTTGAAGTTGCATAAGATTTAGTATACACAATCAGGAAAGTACTCTGTATAGATTTTTAAAAATGTATTAGTAGTATTCTGCCCTTGAGCCAAAATGCTTAATAATTTGATTTTTTTTCCATTTAAAATTTGGTTGAAAGATTGTTCATTATTGTTGAATTTCAACATGATTGCAAATTAAATGATGCAAAACTCAATAAAGTAAAATACACAAAAGAGCAATTAACATGTTATCTCAGTAAGTATGTAGAATAATGAGAGAACACACTGTTCTACACTGTAGCATATAATTAAGATGTAGTCATAAATCAGGAAAATATTATACCTTGTTTAGATGCACAGGTGGCTTTTAGAAAGATTGATTAGCTCCTCTTTCCCCCTTGAGATGTGAGTTCATAGTTATTCCTGCAAAATTAAACAGAACATTTTCTCATACTTCCTACAGTAGGTATGCTTCAATGCAAACAGCATGACGGAGATAAATGTTTGCAAAGTGTTCATCTCCTTGTCTGTTTCTATTCCAGATGCTCTCTACGATGTCATCACTGTGGGAGCCCCAGCTGCCCATTTTCAGGGATTTAAGAATGGTGGTCTGCGGAAACTACTCCATAGATTTGAAACAGAGAGAAGAAAGTAAGTAAAGACACGAGGAAAGCACAGATTCCATTAATAGTATCTTCCCTTTGGGGAAGCCTATATACAAGGTTAGAATAAAGAAGATTGGTCCATCACAATATACAGTTCTTAACATCTCTAACCCATTTGGTAATACAAAGTTGTTAAATATCTCAAAACTACCAGAGAAGAAGTTAGAGTGAACAAATTGCCTAAGTGTGTTGCTTGTTGAGAAGCATTGTGATGGCAGAAAATTTTCCCAGAAGGCACACAACTAAGGGGTGATATTCTAGTGTCAACTATTGCTTGCTCAAAGGAGGTGTTCAGGGATTTAGCTGGAAATACAGTCTAACTTAACTGTGGAGCCAAAGATACTGAATGTAGATTATGGCTCCTGATTTACGATTTTTAGCCTACTAGTAATTTCCATGGTGGCCTGAGGCACATTTAATTGTGCCGCTTGAAAAAGACACATCCATACAGAAATGTATGTTCTGTTCCTTAGGGAAAAGGCATGACCCAAAAACCAGAGTATTAGCACTATTATTTATCATTTTAATATACTGTTTTTCCAGTGTTTGTTTTCAGATGCTTTTGAATATTGCCTTATACAGGTTTGCAGCAGCAGATTATTGTTCTCCTCCATGTCTCATCCACTTAAGCTTGCTTATCCTATAATATTCTCTAGCTATGACCACGCTCATGTGAAGCATGCAGTGCCTGTCCAGGCCTGAAGAATAACTACTTTCCTTTTCAAGTAGTTACTCTTCCTAAGTTAAGAGCTTCCCCCCCCCGCCCCGCCCCCCCCCCCCCTTTTTTTTTTTTTTACTTTCAGGTTCTAAGGGTACATCGGCAGGTTTTTTTATTTTTTTTATTTTTTTTAAATTTGTTTTCCAGGGTAAATCGCATGTCACAGGGGTTTGATGTACAGGTTATTTTGCCACCTGAGTAATAAGTATAGTGCCTAAGAGGCAGTTTTTCAATCCTCGCCCTCCTCCCACCCTCCACCCTTCTACCCTTCCACCCTTAAGTAGGCCTGGTGTTTGTTGAAGAATCCAGATTTTGAAAGTTAGGGGCAAATAGTCATTCTTTAGTCACAGTTGATTTAGCAATAGTATTAGAAAATCTATTTGAGTGGCAAAACCGGAAATTATTTTAAAGTTTTATCACATGTATCAAATGTAAATGTGTTTTTTGGTGCCCAGGTGTTTAGGGAGAAAGCATGTAAAGAAGGTTAGAATTGAATAATTGACTTATTATATAAATATATAAACTACCAATACATATATATTTTTCTTTTTTCCTTTTAAGGAATTGACTTTGGTACAATATTAACTCAGTTACAGTTCTTATTCTGATTTTTCAAGTTTTTTGTTTATTTTTGTTTGCTTGATTTTTGGTGGGAGAGGTTTTATAGTTTTATAAAATTATACTGCATGCATAGATTAGAGTAACCATCACTATTATGAACATCGTATAGAACTGTTTCATCACCACAAAAAACTCCCTCAGTTTACCCATTAATACACCCTTCTCCCAAATATTATTGCAGTGGGGAGTGGAAGTCAAAGTTTCACCCATGGGCTCTGCAAGGGAGGGGCATCTCCTAATAACTTTATGGGAGCTGGAAGTTAATTCAAGCCATAGGCCCCATGGGGAAGGGCTGCCTTCTCTACTGAAGTGGGGGTATGAGTGGAAGACAGGGTTTTGCCCTTGGAATCTGAGTGGGGATGGAGGGTGTTTCTTACTGATTCCCTACTGTACCATTCTCCTAGTGGGGGAGGGGCATGACATTTTTGTGGTATTCACCCCCAGAACAGGTTGATATGGCTGGGCCACCCTGTTCCAGGTTCTTTGGCTTTTCCTGGGTGCTTTTTTTTTCTTTTTTTGATCAGTGCTTTGGTGCATTAAGGAATTCTGTGACACCCAGTTTGGGACATTATAGGAGGCAAGAAAAATCCTGTGAAGCTCACTGCCATATCATTCATTAAGTCCTGAGGACCCTAACCATATACCTTCTGTAGTCTACCGTTAAGAGTCTTTTGATAGGTGGCATTTCTAGATGTTTTGTCTAGAGTGTTCCATTGTGATTAACAGGGGAAGCAAAATAGATTGCATTTAGTCCATCTTGTTTGGAACTATGTCTCAACCTTAAGAGTTGACTTATTTCATTTTCTCAATTAAATTGTAAAGTATATCACCAAATTAGAAGACTGAAAACTGCCCACAGCACAGTTGGAATCCAGTTGTGCATATAAAGCGTTAGTATGTGAAATATGGAACCTAACCCTATAATTTTATAAAATACATTTCTGTCAAAGACAACTGTTGAGTTCTATGTTGACTCTAAATAATATTTCTTAAGTTTTAAATATTTGCATAAATATTTGAATCCTTCACTTTTCTTGATTTTTCACTGGGCTGTTACATACCTACACACACACACACACACACACTCTCTCTCTCTCTCTCTCTCTCTCTCTCACAGATCTTGGGCTAATTTTAACACAAAAGTAAAAGTGTGTTCAATGCTTGCAAACACTGATTGCTCCAAATTTTTCATTTGATTCTATATCCCATTGCTTTATTGATAAAATACAATGAAGATTTTAAAAGAAATAAAAAAGAACTTTCTGTGGATCTTAAAATAACTCTTTATAGGGCAGTGGTATGGGACAAATACAGCTTGCTGAGGCAATATACTGGTGAGTGCGGTTATCAGCCTACCCGTTAAATTAAGAGCTGCCCTGGGCAGAGACTTCATGACTACAGAGTCATGGCACTATGCCAGTACTTTTTCTACAGGCTTTTTCAGCAACAAATATTGCATTTGTCAGTCAACAGCAATGTATTGAAGTAAAAATGACTATATGAAATGAGTAATTTGGGCTTTAGGTTAAAGTAAACAATTACATTTTGCAGGACACGAAATCACAAATGAGGAAATTTTTCTTTGCCTCATGTTTGATTTGATGTCACCCCCCACAAAACAACAACAACAACAACAACAACAACACAGATAGCCAAGTCTTTTAGGCCAGGTTTTTGGGAGCTACCACAGCCATTGTACTATTTAACCTCCGTTTATTTTTTTCTCAGCTAAGCTAATAAAATACTGTCATCTGATAAAAGACATAATTTATGTTTATGTCACTTGGTGATCTCTTTTGTGATGAATACATTGGCCACAGAATGAAAAAGGTTTTAGTGTAAGATAATATTGCTTATAATGTTTATATAAAGTAATTGAGGTCATACAACCATATTTATTAAGAGTTACAATTAGGGAGATTGAACTTTTAAAGCACAGTTTCTGAGTACCTTATTCTTGTGCTTAGAAACTTTGAGGAGTCCATGCTTGTTCACTGGGCATTCAAAGCATCCATGATTTCATCCACCAGTATCTACCCTTATCACCCATTTCTCCTATTTTTGCTTCTAAAATGCTATATAAACTATTTCCTAAATGGGCTTCATGTATTTCTACCTTTTCCTTTTTCCTCATTCTGTTCCCTTTTACAAGAAATTATTCTAGTCTCCTCATTTTCTACCATTTCTCATTTCTTTCTATGAAAACCATTTACACAATCCTATTCAAAATTCTACACATGGTCCATGTGAAGATTTCACCCTTATAATTAGGCTTTTCTGATTTCTCAAGTTGATTTGATTCTCCTCTCTAATACTTTATTTTTACTTCTCTTATAGCCTTACTAGGCCACAGTAATGTATTAGGTTTTTTCTTGTGTGATGTTTCTGTGATATACTCTACTTTCCTTGAATAAGAGATAGAGCACCTTGTATATATAAGTATTCTATAGATCCAATACAACAGGCATTGGAATTCACATACAAATCAGATATAGTTGCTGACTTAAAAGTGTGAAAACTAGAATGGGAGAAAATAATCATAATGCAATAAGATTAATTGCATTAATAAATAATCATAATGCAATAAGATTAATAATATAGAGAGCACGGTTACCAGCCTTGGCTGCATACTAGAATCACCTTTGGAGCTTTAAAAACTTTTATTTATAACAGGATATCACCCCAGACAAATTAAGTCAAAGCCTTTGGTAACGGGACCCAGGCATCGATACGTTTTTAAATCTTCCCAGGTGAGCCTAATGTATAGCCAGAATTGAGAACTACTGATATAGCTGTAAGTGAATAGTGCTATTGGAAGACAGACAAAAGGTCTGGAGAATAAAAACAGAAAGAGCTACACAGATGAGTTGAACTTGAAAAACTGTATAGAACTTCCATTGGTATGTATCAGGCAGAAAGAAAATATAAGTAAGAGAATATTTATTGAGGTAAGGTATTAAAACTCACTCACTGAGAATTTTTGTTTAGAGAATCCCAAACTCATTAGAGAGTTGCAAAATGGAACTGAATGTGAGAGGAAAGCTATAAGAATTTTGATCTTTGACAATCGGGTTGAGTAACATACAGACACATACAATTGAACATATCATAGAGGATTTCATACTGAAAACTTGATATCTTTCTAAGATAACCAAAGCTCTAATTACACATTTTTTAATAAACCCAAATCAGGATGTTTGTAACTTATATATTATCTTGTAATATCAAACATCTACTGTACCTAGTGTCCGTTGATTTACTTCAATACCATGTGAAAGTTTGTGAATTTCTCCTTCAAAACATGAATCAAGTTTTTACTTTTAGTATTGTTTAAAAGACAAAACTTTATTACTACAACGTATATTTTGCTTACTTTAAAATGTTCTCTTTTTTTTTTTTTTTTTTTTTTGAGATGGAGTCTTGCTATGTTGCCCAGACTGGAATGCAGTGGCACCATCTCTGTTCACTGCAACCACCACTTCCTGGGTTCAAGTGATATTCCTGCCTCAGGCTCCCAGGTAGCTGGGATTATAGGTGCACATCACCATGTCCAACTAATTTATTTATATATATGTGTGTGTGTGTGTGTGTGTATATATATATATATATATATATATATATATATATATATATTTTTTTTTCTTTTT